TCCTTCTCGCGCGTTATTGTTTAATACACAAGGCATCTCGAGGCGGCAAATATTTTTATTAGTTTCAAATAAATAATTTATTTAGCAGAATATCGAAATAAATATATACTTAAACGAATTCAATTTTTTTCAGTGTATTATGTTAACACGAAATTAACACGAAAAAATTCGCTCCGAAGAAGAGTACATATCTCCTTCTCGCGCGTTATTGTTTAATACGCAAGGCATCTCGAGGCGGCAAATTTCTCCCTATGCATCCCGGTCTCGCCCACCTTTCCCATAACCACAGCGCCGTTACCAATCCGTCTGCGGCGCAGGCCGATGGCCTTTTCGCCCGCTTCGTCTCCTCATCTCGTTCCTTGTTCCTCGGCCCGGCAACGCGCGACTATATATCGCCGCCGCGTCGCGTATCGATCGCGGTCGATGCTCGCCGGACGAGTGAAATAACGTTAATCAAAGGGGTGAAGGAGGGAGGGCAGGTGGTGTGCGACCGCTCCCCTCGTTTGGGGTTGAAGAATGATCCGGCAGTGACATTGAAATTACCGACCGGAATACACGCGAGAGCGTTTCCACCCCTTTCGACTTATACGATATATTTGATAAGCGTTATCAATGTCGGCGCCATTCTTCATATTCGAAGATATTCATGCGATTCTTTTCACCAATTTGGTATAGAGTTCCCGCAAATTACACAAAAACAAATAAACGCAGGAGAAGATACAGAAATGTAGGAATTGTTCGGAAAGTGACGTTTCTTGTTGGATTCGTCGAGGAAAATTTCGCCGAACTCCGTCCATCGAAAGAAGATTCTTTTCGCTCACCCCGTATAGAAAAGCACGCATTGCCTGTCGGGCTGCGTGGAAGGGCGATGCACCAATGATTACCGTTCCCGAAGGGCGGCGGTTGCCATCCCTCCTTGCACCCCTCTGGTTCCCTTCGCTTCGCCACCATCGCTGGCGCGAGTGGCAACGGACTCGACCCTCGTCGGAACAACCCCGGTTCGAAGGGTTGGGGCGGTCGATGCAGCGTCGTCATGGTAACCAGACGCGCCGTCCGCCACCCCTTCCCACGGTGCATTCAACCGCGGGGCTTGCGTTCGAAAATGCAACGGTACCTCGGTAACGGGAATTATCCTCTAGCCAAGGACACGTTTTTCTCCCAGCCGCATTTTTTATTCAGCCCCTCTTCATCCCCATCTCGCGAGGACGAATTAACCCGTTATATCCCGTCGTGTGGCGCTTGATTTGTCGTACGTGCGCCTTCATTTTTTACTCGACTATCTTTTCGACAATCGAGACGTGCGGAGAGGCAGATGTTGAGATAAAATTGAAAAAAAAAAAACGCAATGAAAAATGTACGACGGATAAAGCTACCGACTTTTTAACGCATTGCAAATTTCGTTTGAAAAAATAGACGTGTGAATTAATAAACGGGAACGCACGGTCGCATAGATTTTTTTTATATATAACTTGTTCGATTTGTTTTTACACGCGTAGGATATTTCTGCGTGAATGAATTTAACTTCAATAATAGATATTTAAATGACGTACATAGTTGTGTCATTTTTCATCTTTTTTTTTTTTTAATGAAATTTATGTGACAATTTTTGTTAATAAAATTATGCTTTAATATTTCTCTTCAGATTTTGGAAGTTATTTATTCCGTAAAAAAAAAACCCTGGAAAGTGATGTATAAAAATCCTGGGACAATAGTCGCACACATGATGACTCTGGATTAATTTTTTGATCCGTAGCGAAGTTTATTTTATATGTATAATATATATTGCAGAATTTTATAATGAATTAAATATTATACATATAATACTTGAAAAAAAATACCATCTGACAATTAAAAAAGGGAAAAAAATTATTGACATTTCTGTACAATAAATACATGAAATATTTGTTTGGATTCCCATAGGAATTTTATAAAATATTAATTTCTCGAATGAAATAACCCTCCGGGTTAACGAAACGACTCTGCGTCATTAAATACGATGCTCGTGCGGCTGGAACGTGTCCTAAATATATATTCTATCCGGCTCGAAGATATTTTACGCTATTTTGACGCGCCCGCGTTTTTGCACTTGGTGAAGAACGCGCATTCGCTTTCAATGAATTTACTCCTCGCGACTTTGTCGGCCTCGGTATGTTAAACGCGGCTTTCCGGCGACCTCGACTCCACGGACTCGCTTCCCTCAGGAGCGTTCACCTTTTATCTCGAGGAGTTAATCGAAATTCTTGCACGAAGACAGCGCGCGCCGGTCTTCTCTAGCACTAGTGTTGTAACGCTTTGAAAAGCGTTTCCTGGAGCCAGATGCTCTTTGTTCTATCGACTTCTTTCCCGTCTCGTCTAACAATAAATCTGTTGCTTTCTTGACCGCTCGCTTCGCTTGAGAGAAAAATATGAATAAAGATGATTTTAATGTCACGGTCCTCCCCGTTCGGGCTTTATTTTGGTCAATGACGAGCGCGCAGCTGCCTCGCTATCCGAAGCTTCCGAGAAGCGGGAATATTTTCACTTAAACGAATTTCTCTCTCTCTCCCCGGCACTATCTTTTCTTTTTCCTCGGTATTTTATTCCTCCTACCGAGCGTGGAAAAGCGAGCGTCTCGTCGCACGGTACCCGATAAATTCGCTCTTGCGTTTGGTGGGAGAGAAGTACGATAACCTTCGCATTCGTGACCTTGGACTCTCTCGCGGTCTATACCAGTTCTCTCTCGTCGTCGTTCTTCCTTTTCCTTCGCAACCGGCGCGCGTCATTCCTCCTTTCCTCTCACTCCCGGTCTCCCCTTAAACTGATCTCACTCCTCTTCTCGCGCTGCCAGGTGAAACATGGCCGTCCCGAGCGATTTAATTAGAGGGACGAGTCTCCTGCTCTCATCGCGAACCGCGCGAATAACCGCTACCGCGTTGTCGGGGTTGTAAAGAAAAAAGGAGAGAGCAGACGTGTACGTGTATGTACACGTGGGAATCGCAATAAAGGGGACCTTTGAGATAGGAAACGTCGTAATAACGATTACGCGTCAACGACTCTTGAGGAACAGCCGGGTGCGAGCGATAGTTAAGATTATTACGACGTTATTATGGTGTTATTGTAACATTAGAGTGGACGGTAGAAGCGATATATCCCGCTGTCGTGATGTGAAACAATATGATACTCTTTCGTCACTATCTGATCTGAATGATATGCGAGCTTGTACAGTATATAGGTTGCAATTTTTAACAATGCGCTCTATTAAAACTTTGTTCTATACAAATGCAAAAATAGTAGCAAACAATGGAGAAAAAAGGAATGAAATACGAACCTCTTGAAACCTAATAACCTCACTTTAAACATTTTTTTATTTTAACAGCAGAGCAATTAATTACATTTGTTCTGACGTTAAAATTAAATTTACATAAAGTGGAGTTGATGATTAGCTTGGTTTTCTGAGAAGCTTAATTATATATCAAAGTCGGTGTATTAATAATTAACGACGTTTCAATGAAGAATTAATCGTCAGTTGATGGATAAAAATTGCGGGAGTATAATAATTGCCAAAAATCTGTAACACTTGTTAAAACATTGAGCGGTAGACTAATTTTTCCAATCGATACAGGGTCTACTCCCTGGAAAACCGGGAAAACCGAGGATCGTCAGGATTTTTTTTTCTTTTTTTTTTTTATATTGAAACATCCGGGAATTCTCATGAAATTTTATCGAGACTCGGGGAATTTTTTCAAAAATTGTATCTTTGACAATTTTACTCTTATATTGCAAGCGATTGATCAGCTGATTGATCAAATTAGCAATCATATAATCGCTTTCTTTGTAAACGTATGAATGGAAAATATTAGAAAACATATACAATAAAGAAATTTTAAAAATTTATGCATTTATAAATTTTCTTATTTTATTTGAAATCTTAAACAAAAATACCTGAAAGATTGAGGAATTTTTTTACAAAACTTGAATAGACACTTTTATAATATAATATATAACGGCGCGTGTTCTACGGAAATTTAATCGCGAAAGCACTGTCAGCGATTTCTTTACTTTGAAAAATCTGGGAATTTTCAATTCTGAAATTTTATTGACTCAAGAAGTTTTCAAAAATGTCTCTTTTATTTTTATATTGTAAGTAATAGATTTGCAGCTGATTGTGCAAGCAATCATATAATCGCGCTTTCTTTATAATCGTATAAATAGAAGATATGAGAAAGCGCATAATAAATAAATTTATTTTGAAAAGCATCTGCAAAAATTTTATTTTACTTGGAACTTTAAATGAAAATATTTGGAAGATCCGAAAATTTTTTACAAAACTTGAGTAGACATCTTGATAAAGTATATAATGACACTCGTTCTAAATGTAATTACAAAAGAGGGATATTTAAAAAAAACTGTCTCTGACATATTTACTCTTATATTGCAATCAATCGATAATCAGCTGATTACTCAAGTTAATAAGCTTACACATTCGTTTTTTTATAATATGAATAGAAAACTAAATTTAATATAAATTTTCTTATTTAATTACTATGCGCAACACAAGCGCGCGCCATTCTTCGATTTTATATTAAAAAGATTGATATTTTAAAAAATATAAAAATTGTTTAAACTTAATATTTTTGACAGAAATTAGCTGATAGCTGTCAAAAATATTAATCGAGTTTAGAAGTATTATGTTTAAAACATTAGTTTCATTTTTGTAACATAAAAACATTTTTATTTTACAACAAATTTAATTATCAAAGTAACGATTTAACCGGCTGATTTCAGTGAAAAATATAAATAATGCGTTAATTTACTAATTACATTTCAATATAATATGTTCAAAAAATTAAAATAGTAATATATTGTAAATTGATATATGTAATAGTGTCTTATACGTTAATAATATTTTTGACAGAAATCAGCTGATAACTGTCAAAAATATCGTAACAAAGCATGTCGCGCGTTCTACGAAATGCAACGATGAGAGCGCTCTTAATTAATGCATACCTTTCTGCTCGCAGGGATGCCGGTTGACTGAAGATGGCCTCGCCGACACCCTCGCTGGAATCGCGCGCAAATTCCCTCGGGTCCCCAGTCTCGCTGTCCCCTGTAACAGTGAGCGGCAGCTCGCCGCCTGCTAGCGATTCGGCGATCTGCGACGTCGACAGCTGCGATTTGTGCCTGGACGCGCCGAAGTCGGGCGAGGATCCGTGCCCACGCTGCCGACTGGGTAGCACCGGCGGCACCGGTCGCACTCGTTGCACCGGCTGCAAGTCCAGCGAGGCGGACGCCGTTGCGCGTTGCTACAACTGCGACCAGTTTCTCTGTCCGAATTGCGTGATGGCGCATCAGTATATGCTCTGCTTCGAGGGCCATCGGGTGCTGAATCTGGCGGACTCCAAGCTGGAGACCGTCGGCAGCAGCGGCGGCGGTAGCAACGGCGGCGGAGGAGGAGGAGGCGGTGGTGGTGGCGGCGGTGGTAGCATAATCACCGGGACGACGGAACTACCACCTAAGAGCACCACTTGCAACGGCGGTGGCGGAGGAGGTGGCGGTAACAGCCTGGTGATCAACGGCGGTAGCGCCAACAACGGCAACAACAGCGAGAAGGTGCACTTTTGCGCGCGACATAAGCAGGAAATAATCAAGTACTTTTGCCGAAGCTGCACCGTACCAATATGCAAGGAGTGCACGCTGACGGAGCACACAGCGCCGTTGCACGACTGCGCCCACATCTCAGACGTGGGTGCCCAACAGATCGAAGGACTGGCGCGGATGGTTCAGGAGTGCCGTGCGAAGGCGGTGGACGCTCGCGCGGCCGTGAAAGCGGCGGATCACAGCGCCGCGGTGCTGCAGGTGCAGTATCACAAGGCGCAGAACGAGATCAACGATACGTTTCAATTCTATCGGTCGATGCTGGACGAGCGGAAGCAGGAACTCTTGAAGGAGCTCGACTCGGTATTCTCGACCAAGCAGATCTCCCTTAACGTGATCGGGCAACGCGCCAACGAGATGGCGGACAAGATTATACAGACCTGCGACTTCGTTGAGCGCGTGACCAAGGTTACCACCATAACCGATTTCCTCATGGTGAAGAAGATCTTCGAGTCCAAACTCCAGACGCTACTCAATTACACGCCGAACACGGACATAGCCAATCAGACCGCGGACCTCGAGTTCGTCAGCAATTTCCAGGCGATACAAGTAGGCGTGAGAAATACCTTCGGTTACGTACGGAGTAGTAGTAATAGCGAAAACAGCGCCGGCTCGATCGGCAAGCAACCGCCGATCGCGCGACCAACCGCCTTGTCGAGCAACGGTATCGGCAGCGGCGGCAGCAACATCAGCAACGGACCGGGAAGCGGCGCGGGCTCCTTAGGTGGTCTCCTGTTGGATCGTACTTACAGTAACGGCCTGATCTCTTCCAGTATGAATTGCGGCTCGTCCTCGTCACCTTCGTCGATCGACACCATCAGCACCGTGATTTCGAAACGCTTTAGTTCGGCCAACAGCTTAGGCCCATTCTCCACCACGATCAGCGACGTTAATCTGAACGGCATGAACGCCAATCCGTACGAGAAGTGGAGTAACGGCGGTAGCGACACTTATCCAGTTGTAACGACGAACGATCACTTTGCAATGCCGGCAGTAGCCGTGGCGGCGAACAACGCGCCTGGTGATTCCGTCCTCGACCTAACATCAAAGCTGATGTCCGCTACTGCGATATTCCCGCCCAAATCGCAGATCAAACGGCAGAAAATGATTTATCACTGCAAGTTTGGCGAGTTCGGCGTAATGGAGGGTCAATTTACGGAACCGTCGGGCGTCGCGGTGAACGCGCAGAACGACATCATCGTTGCCGACACGAACAACCATCGCATTCAGATCTTCGACAAGGAGGGCAGGTTCAAATTTCAATTCGGCGAGTGCGGTAAACGCGACGGTCAACTGCTTTATCCAAATCGCGTCGCCGTAGTGAAGACTTCCGGCGACATTATTGTCACGGAACGTTCGCCGACTCATCAGATACAGATCTACAATCAGTACGGTCAGTTTGTGCGTAAATTTGGCGCAAACATCCTCCAACATCCGCGCGGCGTCACCGTCGACTCGAAGGGACGCATCGTCGTAGTGGAGTGCAAGGTTATGCGCGTCATCATCTTTGATCAAACTGGCAACGTTCTGCAAAAGTTTGGATGTTCGAAGCATCTCGAGTTCCCGAACGGCGTGGTGGTGAACGACAAACAAGAGATATTCATCAGCGACAATCGCGCTCACTGCGTCAAGGTTTTCAATTACGAGGGCGCCTACCTGCGACAGATCGGCGGCGAGGGCATTACCAATTATCCCATTGGCGTGGGCATCAATACTCACGGCGAGATACTGATAGCGGACAATCATAACAACTTCAATCTGACCATCTTCACGCAAGACGGCCAACTGGTCTCGGCTCTCGAGAGCAAGGTCAAGCACGCGCAGTGTTTCGATGTGGCGTTAATGGACGACGGCTCGGTGGTGCTCGCCAGCAAGGACTATCGGCTGTACATATACCGTTACGTGCAGGTGCCGCCGATCGGCATGTAGAGCAGCGACGCGTCACGACGACGACGATGATCGTCGTGCGCCAGTGTCAACATTTGTCATCGTATCATCATCACCATCACCACCACTACCACTACCACTACCACCACCACTACCACTACCACAACCACCACCACCACCACCACCACCACCACCACCACTACTACCACCACCACCACCACCACCACCACCACTATCACCACCACCACCACCAACCACCTCACCACCACCACCACCACCACCACCACCACCACCACCACCACCACCACCACCACTACTACTACTATCACGATCACACCACCACCACCATCATCATCATCGTTATCATCATCATTGCCGTTCCACATCGTTGGACAACCGTGCGGGATCACCCCGATCTCGTCGATCTTACCTTTCATCTACGCTCGCCTGTCTTCTTCTACAACCATCGTTCTACCATCAACGCTCGCGCGCTCAATTCACCACTGTTATCATCACCTTCTTCGCCCGCCCCCATCTACGAGACGTTTTACGAACCGCCGACTATTAGAGAAGGAGCGCATCATACGCTCCTTATAACACGAGGGATCGACTCCCTCGAGCGAGTGTCGTTCACGCGGCAAGAATGGAGTTCCCCGAAGACTCCGCCGTGTGACATCATCATCATCGGACATCACCGATCGACGGTATGCGAGAAAGCATAGCGCGCGCATTTATCCTCTCGATGATACTCTTCTCCGGTGGTCCGTCTGGACGAGGAGGGAGGAGAGACCCGCGTCGCTCTATGCGCAACCCTCGCGACGTCGAATAGTCGAGGATCCGCAACAAGAAAGAGAGAGAGAGAGATGTGAGAGAGAAAAAGAACGTAATCAACCTGCTGCTGCCCCGACAAATTCGCGCGCGCTCCTTTCTTCGCGCGTACGCGCCGTATATACGCGTGCGCGTGCGCGATAACTTACTTGTTAATGTTGTTATAATACTGAAAATACTGTTGTTGTTGTTTAGTTGTAGAGCTCGCCGCCGCTAGTCACTTCCCCCCCCTCGCCTTCCACTTTCCTCCTTCCCTTCGCCGACCCTGTTACCAACCCTCTACCCTGTATCCCTTCCGCTATCCCGCACCAAAACCACGATCTTCTCTCTGAGACCTCGTCCGATGATCATCAATACCGAGAAAGCGTGTTTCTATCCCAACGACACGTTTTCGTTGCTCTCTCCGACGTGGTCGATCAGTCTGTTACTTTCGATCATCGCGGTTCGAAGCGTCTCCCTGAAAGAGCTCGCGAGGAACTTCGCAAATTGTTCGCACGAAACATTATCGTTTATCATTTTATTCTCGTGAAAGTTCACGCGACATCATCAGGTTCTTGATACTCCGGTCTTAGGACTGAAACTTAGACCCCTCTGTTGAACGGCTTTGTATATGGTTTTTTTTTTGGAGACTCGTAGACAGTTATGCAAGTTATTAAATCTATACACATCGTCGACATGTCTCGAGCAGCGGTCTGCAGTTAATCACTCAGTTTCCCAAATTGTTTGCGCGCTATCTGGTAATGGATAATTGATTGATTTTATATTAGAGGTAAAACATTTAATTGATCCATGCGACATTGGTATGCTCGCGCTAAATAGTTTGAGAAATTTGACGAGAAATTTCATTGTAACAGCTTCAGTAGAGCGATCGACAGATTTGGGTGAACACCAGGAGATCGTTGAATCGTGTGCGTATTTAAAGATACAATCTTGCCGATCATCCAAGATGATGAGATCAACAAGATGATTGAATCGTCGTGAAAAATCGTGGGACAAACATCATCGGTAGATCGAACGGTAATGTCCTCCCCACTGTTGAATTTACTCCTTCGCGATCATAATTTTGCATCTTTTTTTGTGTGTATTATCGACAATTCCTACGGAAACTCATCCTGAGGTGCATTTTCGTATTCATGACAACGACAACAACGACGATGTCGTCGAACAGTCATCGCGTATATTACGTTTATTTCTTCTCGATTTAATTTACTGTTATCGATTAGTAGTTTTTCTTTATTATTTTTTACCTAGTTAATTTCTACACCTATATCTCTCCTGTGCATTTGTTTCTGTTGTTCTATTGCGACGTCAAGTTTAAGAGAGAAACAACCCGATATCTAGATTAAAGATACTTGATCGCACGCACAATTTTTCTAGCTTTATTGCTTTATTTGATCAATCTAGCAACTGCTCACTCTTGTGTCAGGCACAAACGACGTTACTCAATAAATTTGTTATTTCTTTAGAAACGATACGTAAATAATTCATCTTGGAGAGGAAATACCACCTTGGCAAGGTATCACTGAGAGTCTGATGCTAAATATTATATAACTCGCTCATAGATTGACGGCGCGGATATAAATTGACGGAGAATAAATAAAAAAATCGTCTAGATTCACACCGAGAGACACGCAGGAATCGTCGGGCGTTCGTAGATTTTAGTATTATCATTACGAGGGATGTAAAGTTTTTTGTTTAAGAGAAGAAACGGAAGTGTGCATGACATTTTTTTCGAGCGTATCTGCTGCGTACAGTGTTGACGATGTAGAAGCTTGTCGAAATTTATTCTCGGCCCCTGATAGCAACAAATGACGCATGTTTATCGTTTTATACGTCATCTCGTCCTCGTCAACGAAAGCAGAAGGCGAATCAGTTGCCTTCTCCAACATTATCATCCCCCATCCCTGGGCGAAACTCTCTCCTTTCTCTTCTTTTCTTTTTTTTATTTTATTTTATTTTATTTTATTTTATTTTTTTTATTATCATTATTAGCCTAGTAGTATTTGTAGCGTATATAGTAGTTATTAGTCGTTTTTAGTAAGCGTGTAATACTTTCCTTTTTTTCCGCACTGTATCTCGTTCTTGCGATAAGTTGATTTATTATCCAACTACTGTCTGTGGAACGCTGTCTGTTCTTCTCTGATTTTTCGCTTGTGTCGTTGCTGCTTTACATTTTTGGATTTCGATGGAATCTGCCAACGAGATTAAAACCTCCTCCGATATTCCCCTATTATTCCTTCCCTCTGTTTCCGTCTCCATCCGACTGCCGCGTAGCCGTTTTAGGTTCACGTCGGCATCATCTCGTTTACCCTCAAACTTATAGTATTAATATATTTTGTTGGATAGAAAGATAAAATGAGAGAAAAAATCGCGCCAATCCTACACGCACGCACACATGTTTGCTCTTATTATTATTATTATATTTTTATTAATATTATTGTATTTTTATTATTGTATATTATTACTCTTTATTATTATAACACTTGCGTGTCGCAGCTTTCGACATGTGACACTTCTCGACGTTGCTCCCATCCCCTGGTGATACATCTACTCTGAAGAGGAAAAAGAAAGGGCTAGCTGGCACGTAATCCTAATTTTAATCTTATTACTCGACTACGAGAACTCGCGAACTTGCTGATCTTCGATTACCAAATTATTATCGTCGCTAAAACAATCCGGCGCGATTCTGGAAGTTTCGGAGAGTCTAAAGTCGATCCAAAACTTTCAGACTTACGCGCCTAATCTTTATTCATGAAAAAAATTGTTAAATCGATCGGAAGTTGGATTTTTTTACACGTGTAATGAGTTAATGAGCGATTAATTTAATCGAATCCTTTTAAAAATTGATTTTTTTATTGTTTTCGATCAACTTGAATATCGCTTCACCCTGATATAACAGATTTTTTTTAACAGATTAAGAAAGATAAAAGTAACAAAGTAAGTGTAACGATTTATTAACAAGTTGTGATTTAATTAGACGAATAAATAATTAAAATGCGTCTTTGAGCTCGCGATTTCGAAGACGATTGATCGTGATCGAAGATCCTAAAATAATCCGCGGTCCATCGCTGTCTCGTGATTACTTGATTTGGTAGTCGAGAATAAACAGTTGGAGCAGTATGATATTTGTGAGATTGACTGAATATTTTTGTTGCCTAATTAGAGACTTTGATCTGAAGATTCGACAATTTTCGGTCAACTTTTTATTATGTATTTATTATGCTCGATCAAAGAAAGAGAAATAAATTGTGATCCAAGTATTTTGTACCTGCTATAGTCACTGTTTATAAATATACGACTTTTTTTTAGAGAGGAAGGAAACAAATAATGTGTGATCGAGAATAAGTGCAAGTTTCGACGACGTTCGCGTAAACGTTGTCTCATAAAATTGATGGATAAATTCAGAGTTACGATAAAAATATTTTGCAACGAATTTTGTGATGTTTGACAGATACAAATTATACTGGAAGTTGCTGAAATAATCGTGGATTCAATTTCGACGCGAATTACGATTGAATTAAATAAATGAATGAATGAATGAATGGTTAAATGAAAGACTACCGAACCAGGTGATCGTCGCAGGTTCTCGTTCTTGTTCGCCCTTTAGATAAATTCCGCAGACATTCCGTGAATAATTTCGATCTTTGAATTGCGAACGATCAATTGTTTTTATTGGAAAAATCGATGTTATATTATTCTTGACCGCAAAACTGAACATTTCCTTGATCCTCGCGCGAGGATCAAACTCTAAGGACGAACAAGAACGATAGATATTAACAGGGATGCCCGGGGAAAGAGAAAAGAAAACACTCAGGAGTCACCGGAAAAAACAATTCTATTTTGATTATTCTCGTTTTTCTTTCACAGCGATTTATTTCGATATTCTTTGTTTTTAATCCTTCGATCGATTCCACTTTCGCACCGTCTCCGGCTAAACCGTCAGGCTCCTTTTTTCAATTTCTTGATTCATCAAAGCTGTTTCAACGTGTGAATCTCGATTGCGCGTCTTTTCCATTTATCTTTATTTTTTTTCTTTTTAAATAACATGACAAAGGCGGCACGCCAAGAGAGAACGGCGCGAAAAGCGGGATATATATATTTTCCTTTCGAGAAATAGAGAAGAAAATACAATATTTCGCGATGCGGAGGGGATAAAGAGATAAAACGCGAGATGGCATCACAAAGATATCTGTCCATTAGTATTTATATCGCATAAGCATGCGTTGATCCATAGTTAGCATTACTCTCTCATTATTATGATTTATACTTTTATTATTAATTAGTTGCTGTATTATATTAATTATCTGGATATATATATATATATTTA